AATTAAATTGCAAATCTGATCAAATTCAGGGTAACATTAGAATTATTTAGAACTAATAAAATCTTTAAATTCTAGTACTGCATCTCAGCGGCGCCGGTGGTGTAGTGGTAAGCGTGATTACCTATCACCCCAGCAGGCCTGGGTTCAATCCCAGTCGGCGCCGCCGGGATGTTCTGAGGCATAACATCTCTGATCACGCCTTCCTTCGGAAGGGAAGTAAAACCGTTGGTCCCCGGTTCATGAGTTGATGGGTCGATAGGTAGGGTCCAGGTGTGGGAGCTGCCTCTCTGGCGTCGGTAGCATTGGTGCTCAGCACGGAAAACAAGATCGACGGAAAACAAATCAAAAAGAAAAAAAAAAAAATAGTACTGCATCAAAGTAAGTAAGGACTACATCGATTATTAGGTAAAAAAAACCATCTCATCAAATTTGCTTGATTCTTTACAGTTTAAAAATCAATTCTAAACATATTTTCTGCATCATTTTACCCACATTTGACTCAATTTTCGAAATGCTGCGTAATGGATATTTAAACTTTTTGGGTACACTGTGTCAATACTTTTCAACTTTTGGATGATTTCAGCAATGCAACAAGTAATTTGTTTTATTAAATTTATTTAAGCATGCAATTCATAACCATTATAGTACTTTAAATAAATTCCAGATTATTTTTTACGGGAGATAGGCACATCACTTTGATTTCAATAGCATTATGTTAAAAACTGGATTTTTTAAGCCTTTCAGATTTATCCAGATTTTATATTTTAGCTGATTCAGATTTTTCTGAAAATGACCTGGCAACGCTGATCATGAAGCTGTTTAAAATTTTTATTAATTAAATTAACACTTTTAAATTGAAATGTTAAGACATTATCATTAAAGCATACATTGAACTTCTTATTTTGACGTAGGACTACGTCTTTGAGGACTATATGGGGGTGTAAATTGAAAAAAATTGTGTGACGAAATAATATCAGGTTTTGAACGCTTATAACATAGGCATTAATAAACGAATTTAAATTGTGATTACACCGTTTGAATCAGATTGGCTGTAAGATTTGTTTGGTATAAAGATTGTAGGTGTTTATCGATGGTTAACTATTGAAAATTGATCAATATTCTAAGCCGTAATCAACCAATCATGGGCTCGCATGTTATGACTACCGAGAGAACAGTGAGACGAGCCGATTGCGCGAGGTTATTAAAGAGGTTACCAGTACTCGACACCAGTTTTGGGAAAATATCAAAAAATCAAATCTCACCAACGCCCAAGATCACGCTTGATTTTCGTAGACAAAAATCAACAAGCAAACAACAGCGGTTGATTTTGCAAGCTGTGATATCGCAGCTCGGAATATCAAGCTAACAAAACTCATCAACTGCAAATCTCACCAAACTGTGGTGAGATTAAATTTAATGATTTTTGCTTTACACCCGAATGCAACCGAAACTTCCATAACGGCTTGCAGCAGTCCCTTCGCGTCTGCCATCGGTGAAGATTAAAAAGAGATAGCAAACTATGTTTTCTCTTTCTAAGAAAACGATGTGCAATGGAATCATTTTTGTGTCGAGTCAACCTTCAGCTAGAGTTTTGCACGTTGTGAATAGTCTCACAATATCAAAGGAGCTTGTAAAATCAATATCAAGCATGATATTTTGTTCCAATATCACGCATGATATTGCGAGCGCATGAGAGCGGAAAAATATCAATTGATTTCTGATTTTGCCAACACTGCTCGACACACATATTTTTACAACCAAAACAAAACAGGTGTCACCTCTAAGTGAGAATGAGCGGTAGGCGGTCAAAACTGAAATATAGAAGTTTTTTTTCCTTGATTTGTTTTCCGTCTATCTTGTTTTCCGTCGATCTTGTTTTCCGTGCTGCATTGGTACTGACGTCAGGGATGCAGCTCCCACACTGGACCCTACCTATCGACCCCTCAACTCATGAACCGTGGACCAACGGCTTTACTCCCCTTCAGTGATCAGATATGTTATGCCTCAGAACATATGCCATATGCCTCAGAACGCCGCCTGGGATTGAACCCAAGCCTGCTGGAGTGAGGGGTAATCACGCTTACCACTACACCACCGGCGCCGCTAAGCATGGAAGTTTATTGAATTTCAAGTTATCAAAACCCTAAGCAACCTTCAACCATCTACTTAGAGAATGCAAATCTTCATTCAAGAGTAAACCGGCATCATCTATATCCTTAGCTGCAATGAATAACAGTATCATCTGCAAAAAGATTAATGTCGCAAAATCGTAAAACACGTTTGCAAGTTATTAATATATATAATAAATAAAAAGAGGCTCTAATACACTTTCCTGGGGCACTCCAAGGTTTTTCCTCACGGGACTCGAAATAGAATCCTTAAAAACAGTCCGTTGAGTTTTGTCAGACAAATAGCTTTCAAACCATTTATATGCAGTGCTTGTAATTCCAAAGCACTTGATTGATCTTAACCAGCGAGGGAAATCAAACGAGCATGATTAGATTTCCACTTCATCGTCAACAGAGTTACTCGCAAACTGTACGCTTTACGACTAACAGTTAATCATCACCCGTCATGATCAAACGTTGCTACAAAAGCAACCCACAGAAAATCAATCATCGAGGGATTGAGTCCTGCTCAGAAAAGTGAGTTACCTTTTTCGCTCACTACGTACACAAATCGCTACTCGTGTGTGTTTCACATGACGAGAGTGAGGTGTGAGAGTGAGTGTTCTTTTTGTATTATGGGCAGTGTTGTTAACTTTTCATGGAGTATAATCCGTAGACAGTGAAAATTGTTGTTAACTTGAGAAATATTCAGCTACATTTGTTCTGCCCAACAAACATTTTCATAGAACACGGCTCAAAATCTTCAAATTTTTGAAAGTGATGAGCGGGAGAGGGTAGCGAAGCTGTAGAATATCCGTAGGAATTTGCAACAATCCGAATTTCAACAATCGTCCGTAGATCCGTAGAAAATATCAATATCTGTAGAACTACGGATTAAGCCATACAACTAACCACACTGATTATGGGTATGGGTAAGTGAATTATGAATGGATTTTGTGAATTGTTTGGCATGGTTTGAATTTCTATGCTTAAAGTTGTCAAAAATTCATCTTAGTTCAAGCCACATTTCTAAAGCTTTAGAAACATTTTAAGAACCTTAAGCTAATCATCTTCTAAGTGTGTAAAACAGCATCAAGTATCAGGCAGCTGTTATGTTTTCCAAGAAAACAAATATATCTGTACATATTATAAGTGTTTTAAATCAAGCGTCCCGGATTGGGCCTGAAGAGATCTGGTCACTTTAATCTACAGTATCGGCTGAAAAATGTGAAGTTAGCGCAGCTATACTGCCTGTATTCTCATAATAGTTCCATGTAGATAGGGATTCCTATAGAACATGAGATTATTATGCGAATAGCGGCTATATATATCGCGTGCTATGATGCTATAAGAGACTGTGGAAGCACCGAGGAGGAAGGCGATGTTTGCTGGTCACCCATGATGTTCAGTGGATACATCTCTAAACTACTGTTCCTGAAGTCCATGGCTTGAGAATCATACGCTGCTAAGTTTTTGGAATGGAGCATAGTTTCCTGCCTCCTTCGAGCAAGCTATTTATAACCATCCGCACCAATACACAGTTACTTACAATTTTCAAACATTGGGTGGTAGCTCATTTATAACATTCAATGTATACGCGGCCTTCTTATATAGATCTCGTATAATAATCATACATAATGGTAATGGTATGGTTGTAGTAATAATGAGTTTTCAATGAATGTACCTTCAAATAGTCAAGTGAGCTCTCGTTTTGTCACTATCGAATATGCGCATTTTGCACCGTAGAGCCACATTCGCTGTTTTCTCTGACGCTACACTCGAGTGCAAGATTTCACGCACTTGAGTGTGGCGTCAGTAAAAACAAAGTGTGTGGCTCTACGGTGTCAAGGATGTCTCATGTTCTAGGTTGTCCAAATTGTTCAGCAGTTCAGATATTTTGTACTACTAGGTAGAACTAGAAAAAAAATCATGATCATTGGCATTGAATACAGTTGCTCGTCCACTATACATAATCCGAACAACCTTTTGTCCTAAACTGTACACATCGAGAACAACAGTTGGTAGCTTGCATTGACGACAAGCATTGCATGGTATGCAAAACGAATCGTGAGTGCGCCTGTCAATGATTTGCTTTCGTCGTACTCTCTAGAGATCTCTGTTACTCACGGCTCTCAGTATTCCCTGTGTATTAGTGCTTAGGAGTAGGAAAGAATCGCTTACTGTGGGAGTAGCAAAGAATCGCACAGTGAGTTTATACGTGTTCATTGATCGCTAGAAGCGATTTTCTTCCATCGCTGATCTTAACAATGATGGCTTATAAATTGTTAAAAAAGTTCGATTTAGATCCAAAAAATCAGCGTCAATCGTATCTTTACGCTCCAAGTTATTTTTCCACTTCGCTAATACCAAATTCAACGCGGTTTCATAGGAATGACTTTTCCGAATTCCGGTTGCTCCGGTATCAAAAAGACTATTACTATTTAAATACTCCAAAATCCGGCCTTCACAACAAGTTCTAAACTGTTCTCTAATGTGTTGAACATGTTGTTGAGACGAAACTCTTCGGCTTTAATCTCTCCAGCAACTTTTTATATAGGAACCACTAAGGATTCCTTCCAAATTTGGGGTACATGTCCAGGTCCAGCAACATGTGGCTAATAACATGAAAGTAATCTTGAATAACACATGCATGAACATAACATAACTCCAGCCGATTTTTCTTATGAAAAGCAAATATCTATATATCAACATTCTTCTATTATGGATATTTAGCTCCAATTGGAACAAGACACCTACCTTCAACTCTGTTCAAAGAGCACTTCCAATTTTTAAACCTGACTCCGCTCGATGCCGCTTTCCCCTTAATTTATTATTATTAATCAACACACCGTTCTCAAATTAATTTTAAAACCTGTTCTTTTCTCATTCCAGACTGCCAACGTCGTGCTCGGAATCGTACTGGTCCAGGCACTGAAACGCGAGGAGGAAGCCATGTACAGACGCTGAGCAAAGCTCCTTCCTTCAGTCACCTAATTAGCGTTAAGAATATGACAGTTTTTCCTCTTAGTAACGTAAGGTTTTCACCATCAGCTATGTTTATGATGGCAATAAAACGGAAACATCCATACAATTAAGTCCACAACAATAAGCTAAACAGAAACGAATAAATGTTACACCTGATGAGCAGATGAGTCAATCATCCCAACACAATGGACCGTTCCTTTCTTCTCGCTTCCTGTGTCCTAGAGTGGGAGTGCGATGGAGATGTCACAAGCCCAATTAAAAACACTTTTTTTTTGCCGGCATTCAATTTGCAGTTTACAATTAGCGTTTCCACAAATAGAACTAATGGAAAGTTCAAAGCAAAGAAAAAAACCAACTCTTCTGCCAGGGAGGCACTATCGTCAAGTATTTGTAGCTGGAGAGGCAGCACTGCGGTCGACCGAGACCGAGGACAAATTTAATAATGTCATCTAATTAACTGCAGCAGTCGCGAGGGTGGCAAACAAGAGTGATCCTAATGTGAGTGGATTCTACAATAAAGGTAACAGAAGCATGGGAACGTCTCAAGAGATGCGAGATCCGTGGCACGTCTGGTGTGAGAGAATGCATTTGCCACAAAACATCGGTTTTAATTACTTATCCACTTCAGTGGAGCCGGCTCAGGGAACTCTATTATGATAAGGAAACATACTGTGCATCATAACTCCACGCTGCCCATCTCATTCCCGGCAGCATCTATGGACCGTCACATCACCATAAATCATAACTTCCAACCTTTTTTGTATTTTTACGCACCCCGAATGTTATTTTAAGCTGATGTACTGAATAAAATCCAACAATATATCGAATATGCGCCAATTCGTCTGGTTTCCCTGTCCTCACAAAGTGCGAGTCCGCCTTCCCGATCGGTTTGAATGTATGGAAAATGATACAACATCAATGTTATCGCATATTTTATGCTTGGAAAATGCGTCCACATTCAATGCAGGCACCGGTAAAAGCAAACTCAAAGGCTGTACGGCACTGTACGTGTAACATAATATCTATACGGGAAGGTGGAAGCGAGCTAGACGTGCGTTCGGTCGATCGTTAGCAGGGAAATAATTTAATTTATTTATTTAACGACGAAGCTTAATGTCGTTTACCGGGGGTCTGCTGCCACCGTGCCACCAGGGCTGTTGTTCGTCAGGAATATTTAAGCGCAACGTCAAACGTCGGTGTGCTTTCCGCATTCGATCTAATCGTAGATTGGGGAAGGAGTCATGCTATCCTGATTGATGGAAATGTATCAGGAGGGGTGTTGTTTATCAGATCAGTTACTACAATGATGGTTTGATAAACAACGATAATAAGGTTATTGCGATCTCTTGGAGAAGAGCTTTCCTACTATTGCGATATTGGAATGTGGAACAACAAAAATATGAACTAAGAGGCAAGAATCAAGAAGCAACTAAGCCATCACAGGATTAAAGCACCTCGATAGAACATGCCAGAAGAGAGAATGCTGACACCAACTATCCGCCAAGAGCAAGTGAAGCCTTTGAGTAACAGCTAGCACCCCTCCCCCATCAGATTAAGAAAAAAATCGACGATGCATCCAAGATTGTTTGCCCCGACTCTTTTAAAATGCTAAAAGCGTTAGAAGATTCCATTTTTATGCTTACCCTTCATTATCGTCCTCCCAAGCAGCTTCAATCAGAATAGCCATCCGATGGAAAACTTACATAAAAGTGCCCTCGACGACTGCTGCTACACTGTAAAGCACTACTTCATCCCTCGTCCGAAGAGTCAGCGATGGCGTCGTCAAAAAGGGGGAATGAACTGAGCACTTCTTGGAGGAAATTGATTTTCAACGCTGCTTAAACATAGGACCATTCCAAAGCGGGGTGAAGCCCGCTAAGAGCACCGCAAAACACACCGTAAGGGGAAAAAGAAAAGAAAAAGCATCAAGTTTCCCACCTGACCTGAACCACCGGAAGAAGACACGACCAAAGGGCTGGCGACAGGAGCTGGTCAGGCGATCAACTGCACCCATTTGACATCTCATTAGTGAGAACGAGAGTGGCACTTGTCGATGTTTCATAACCTCCTGTCGGTCGGGGTGTCTTCTCCCATTAGCTTGCTTGCTTCCCTTATCTGTGGGGGGGGGGGGGGGCGAAATGGGGTTGAATAGGGGCAATTTGCGATGCACGCACGAGTCGTTCGTTGGTTGGCTTACGGTGAATGCAGTCATTGAGCATCAATTGACTTTTGTTCAATGCCGCTGCAGGGGGACCGAGAATGATTTAAGTCGATTGTTGTTCTGCCTTTTGTTTCTGTTCTCGAGTGCAAGTGCTGCGTAGGTCTCTAGGTCACCTTAAAGCTATTAGGAGAAGAAGCTGGTTAGGTATTGGGTTTCTTTAAACTTCTGGGATGTAAATTTTCTCAAATCATTCTTCGCATTCACATTTGCATTATTTTTTTTTTTTTTTTGCAATACCCGTTAGAGATGTCTTGGCATATATGAATTTAATTACATATATGAATTTAATTTATGTGTTTCTGAAACGGATCGATTTGAGGATTTAGTATCTTGCTTTTTCGAGTTCAACCACAGTCCGTCTTTAGTGTTTCGATGCATTTTTTTTTTTCCGTCCACTTAGTTCGAGATCCTGAGCACTTACTCAAGCATTTTTATCTTTATGTATTCGTCAATCCAAAATGAAGACTACATAATAACATTATAACTTATAATCTATGATTTTTTCGACGTAGGACTACGTCTTTGTTTTCTATATGGGGGTAAACTTCGCGAGTACAAAAAAAGAGCATGTAACGAAAGGGTCAGGTTTTGAACGCATATATCTCCAAAACATTAGTGAGAAATATGTCATGCAATATGCCATTCGACGGGGGCTTACTCCAGCAATTTTGTGGCATATAGTACAAATAGTGAATATAGTTAATTAACTAAGAAATTTAACTAAAATTTGTAGCATCAAAATTCCCCATACATTTTCTCACACCATAAGGTGTATTTCCAAACAAAGACATCACATAGCTGTTCCCAAACGAATCAAGCCGTTGATTCCTGCCAAGGCTGCCTGCAAGAGCGCTCTAGACAGAGTAGCAGTGATGAAGCCACACTGTCACTGTTTGGGTACAGTTGCTCATCGTGAGAAAGCATTGTGGGCCACCATCATCAATCACTTTATTGTCATGTCGAAGCTCACCCAAGCTCAAACTAGCAGGGCTGGTAGCAGGTCACTTTTTAGTGACTTGGTCACTATTTTGAAGCCAGTCACTAAAAAGTCACTTTTTTCACCAAAAAGTCACTAAAGTCACTATTTCCCTAAAAATAGTCGCTAAACTCACTTTTTCACTACTAAAATAAAATGAAATTTAAAATATCAACAAAATGTTTAAATTGATTACTTGGCACCAGGCATGGAAAATCATTTACATTCATTTCATGCAATCATTACATTCATTTGCCTCTAACTTTTTTCATCAACAGCAATCCGCAAAATGATGCACATAGCTTAAGTAGGTTTTGTTATTAGCTACAAATTTTGCTCACTACTCAAATCTGTATCTCTAATGCATCACGAATTAGAGCGGGCAGAGCTTGTTACTGTTTTTTCAGTGAATGTAAAATTCATTCACTGAAAAACAGTAGTGGCTTCTGTTCGCTCTGGTTCATCATACATAAGCGATACGGATTTGAAATGCTGACAAAAGTTGTAGCTAATGACAAAACCTACAAAAGCTCGATACATCATTTTGCGGAATTCTGTTGATGAAAAAATTTAGGGGCAAATGAATGTAAATGAATGCATGAAATGAATGCAAATGATTTTCCATGCCTGCTTGGCACTAAGCAAAGTAGTCTTAACAAAATATACATATCTGTTAAAAATCGAAAATTTTAACCAGGGTGACCAGTGAACCGCAAAACTTTAGAACACCATTTCGATTAAAAATCGGGGGAAATATACCACCTTTCCCAGAAAATAAATTGTAAACCTTGGAAACTTTCCAAAGGTATTTGTCTGTCATAGATTTTCAAAAGTCTTTCAAGGATGATCAAGAACTTTAAAAAATCCAAAGTAAATTTTAAGACAATTTTAAAGAATTCTAGGAATAACACCAAGATATATCAGAGAAGAATACCAAAGTACAGACTACGAAAGTCTTATGTAAAATTAAGTGCTCTGAGGACCGATTTCTTCTTCTCCGCTTAAAAATAAAGCCAGGTTTACCTATATAGTTAAACTTGGCTTAACACATACGAGCATCGCTTTTGATTATTGTTTAAATTATTAGAGACGCAAAAGTCAGCTCCGAAACAATTCTAATATAATTGAGAGTGCATTTTAACGAGAGTTCTGCGAAGAATTCTATGATGATTGGATGAGGGTTATAGGTCCAATTCTAATAAGAATTCAGCTCTGGAATTTTGCTTAAGGGGGGGCTCTGATGAAAATTCCATGGAAATCCCGTGAACTCCAAAGATGGTCTCTGCGGATAGTTCTAAAAGAATTCTGGGGTGATTTGTGACGCTACTTCCAAGAGAATTCTAAAGAGTTCGAAATAAATTCCGAGAAGAATTCCAATGGAATCGAATTTTGAGGATTAAATCCCAAAGGAATTCTAAGAAGAGTTTCAGAGCAGAAATTTACGAAATATCTTAGGTTAATTGCATGGAAATTCTAAGCATGTATTTATGGAAGGAGCCTTCAGGGAGTTCCTAGAAGAATCAATTAAAAATCGAAAATAATCTGCTTTAACTAATCATGTGATATTACCATAGAGGTAACTCTAAGACTAGTAGGTCCCGAAGAAACGTGCTCAACTTTTTGGCTCAGCTCTGGTACTATCTTCGGTCCCAAGCTAATCGATTCACCCCTCGAAACATAGGAAAATCCACTAACCCCTCATTTTATCTGTCAAAATTTCATAGCGAATCAAAACAAACATAGTGTAGTACTAGAATTTCGACTAGAATGGCGTATGTTAATCGATTTTCTTAGGACCAATAGGCTAGTCAACTAAAGGGTGATACGGTCAAAATTTGGTCAATATCAACTTGACGTATTTCTTTC